CCTCCCAGAGAGCTAGGATTACAGGCGTGAGCCACCACACCCGGCCGCACTTACCTTTTTTATTTCAATAGTTTGTTTTCCTATTGCATCAGTTGGGGTCTTCACAGGAAACAGAAGGACACTCAGAAGAAATTCTGAAAATAATTTTATGATATGAAGAGACTATTTTCAGAAGTAGGCAGAATTAAGGAAATCAATTATTAGATACCGGAGCCCAGTGAGTGCTGGAGCCTTGGAGAAGGAAATTGCAATTGCGGAGGGACTGCCTGAGCTGCAGTCCCAAACCGATGCCTCTTGCTGGCTGAACTCGATCAGCAGCCACGGAGCATGGACTTCAGTGATGCAGCTCACAGAGATCAAATCCTTGGGGCACCCAGCAGGGCAGACAAAGGTGGAGGATAGATCTGGGAGAGAGGGTGGCAAACAGAGATCAGCTAGCACAAATGTTTATCTTCCTGCTAAATGGAAAGTTCCTAAGGGTAGGACCATTTCTCACTCATCCTTGTAGCCTCAGCACTAGCACAGGGTTTGGCCCAGAGTAAGCATTCGATAAATCTTTATGGATGTGAACTACAATGTTAGGGCATATACTACATTTGACTTAGTATTTGAGGGAAGACGGGCAGGCAGGTAAGCTGTTCATTATCTTTCTTTGGCCTATTTTCATTCATGTTCATGCACAATTTTTTTTTGTGGTACAAGGTCTCCCTCTGGAGTGCAGTTGCATAATCATAGCTCACTTCAGCTTGGACCTCCTGGGCTTAGCAATCCTCCGGCCTTAGCCTCTCAAGTAGCTAGAACTATAGGCATGCGCCACCATACCTGGATAATTTTTTTTTTTTTTTTTTAGAGATGGGGGTCTTACTGTGTTGCCCAGGCTGGTCTTGAACTCCTGGGCTCAAGCGATCACCCTGTCTTGGCCTCCCAAACTGTTGGGATTACAGGCGTGAGCCACTGTGCCCAGCCCCCAATTGTTTTTATACATTTCTTGATATATCTAATGTAGATGACAACAGCACAACCAGGACAGAATTAACTGAAAAGGTTAATTTCAATCATCCTGTCTTGCTGAGTTCAGGCTAATAGCTCCGGAAGCAAAAGAGACCTGGAAATAAAAGTATCCATGTGGGGCTATCAGCATCAGACACAAAGCATGAGAATCACAAAATATTTCAGTTAGTGATGCTTCTCTAGCAGTTGAACAACATCATGTCCAGGTCCTGGCACACAGTAGGCAATTAATAAAAGCTCATTGACTGTCTGGAGTCAGGCAAGCCAGGCAGATTTTTCTGAGGAATAAAGTAACTTTAATGAGACAGATGAAGCCATTGAGTAGGGTGACCAACTATCCTGGTTTGCCTAGGACTGTCCTGATTTTAGCACTGATAAACCCTCAGCCAGAGAAACACTCAGCCCCAGGTAAACTGGGACAGTTTCCACTAATTTCATCAGGTATCTGGATATAGTTCCAAATACTTTGCCAGCCTTCTCTGTGAACTCCAAGTCCCTCGTTGTCATAATCTACAAGAGAAATATACAGACACAAGTACTGCACCACTGACCATTTTAAATCTCTGCATATGTTAAGCAAGAAAATGGTTGAGAAGAACAAAACTTTTTGCAGCAAGTTTTTATGCTCCGACTTTTGGCTGAACTATGGAAACTTGATATGCAATACAATTGCCTGGTTCTTGAACCAGATAAACTCCTTTTACAGCAAGAAACATCATATAGAGACAGATACATGTATTCTTTAAGTAAGTGCAGGAAATATTTAGCCAGTATATAGTATTTATAATTAATGACAGATTCTAGAAAACAAATGGACAAATGGATTCCTTGATTCTTGGTAGGAAAGGCTAATACTACTGAAGAAAATAAAAAATAAAATCCAACTACTGAGTTTAGTGACAACATACAAATGAAAATCCACCAAATAACAGTTTGTGCTGAAGAAGAATAGACAAACTAGCCCTCCAAATTAAGATTTGTCTGTGTGATGTGATATTAAGGGAAATAATTTAGATAATACTTATGATTAAAATCATTATATATTTTGTTTATGGTAATCACTAATATTTTTGATGATAAAATTAAATTTGGTGATAAAAATACATGATTAAAATAAATCATTTGACCATTTTTTGTTTTTGAGATGGGGTCTTGCTATATTGCCCAGACTGACCTCAAACTCCTGGGCTCAAGCAATCTTCCCACCTTAGCTTCCCAAGTAGCTGGGACTATAATAGGCCACATGCCACCTCGCCCAGCTCATTTTAATCGTTTGAAAATCAACTATTTCTAAAATTTAAAAAATTACCTAAACATTTTAAATCACCATCACCTGCAAAAAACTAATGATGAGACCTACCTTTACTGAGCACCTTATACTGTATCAAGTATCATGTTAGACATTTAAATAGAACCTCGGTTAATCCGTCAGCCCGATAATATGAGCATTACCAATCCTATTTGTAGGTAAATAAAACAAGGATCAGAGATGTTAAGTAATTTGCCCTATGTCACAAAGCTGTTAGAAACCCGGAATTCTATCTAATCCAAGTCTGTTTATTTTTTCTACTATATACTGTATATAATTACCTTAAAAGCAAAAACACTGAAAGACCTGTACAAATACTATTCTGGCAACTATATTAATTTAGCTTCTATGTAATTCCATTGCATTTTGCTAATTAAAAGTGAAGTTAAATAAGAAACTTTATGTAGCATTATAGAATCTACTATAGTCGTGCTTTTTGTGTGTCGTAGAGGTATTGGAACTGTTAGTGCTTGTTGAATGGTACTTGCTAATCATTGTACTCATTTTGCTAATTTGCTCATATATTTCAATTTCTGAAAAAGTTGCCAAAAGCTGTTAAAAGAGAACAGTGGACATATTTTTAAAATTTAGTAAATCGGAACAACATGGGCACATGCTAAAGATTAATTTGTGATCATTTACATATATCGCATTCTGGAAAAAAAAGGAGGTGCTTTTTTTTTTAAGTGCAAAAGAAGGAATGCAACCTATTTCTCGCAAGGGCATATGAGCGGATCTCGTAATTCTCACACATGGCTTTGTTTTCAAATTCTTGGAAGTGCAGAAATTCTTTTAATTTAAAGGTGAGCCCATGGAAAATCTGGACCAGCTGTAGAAAGCCATCCAAGAACTCAGTGCCACAGTCACTTTTTCAGCTGTGACACCACCCCAGGGTGATCTGACCCTCTGCTCACCACTGTTCTAAATTATCAAAGGGAGAGGGACGTCTGTACCCACTGCCACAAGCAGGTCCCTATTTGAGGGACCTGGAAAAACAGATCATTATGACTTTCTTCAAGGTCACACAAAGTTTAAGTGATTTTTACTATCCCACATTCCGATGTGTCCTTTTCTATGGATTCATGTCCCATGGTAGTTCATCATTCTATATTTATGGCATTTTTATTAGGTAACAACATCTCATCTCTTCTTCGTAATTGTGCTGCCGCATATTTTTAGAAACTTCCCCACCCTTCACTGTCAGGACTGAGGGGTTGCATCAGTGTTGAGTTTGAAAATCCTGTCCTTGCATGAGACGGGTAAAAGTGGATTTATTAGTATTTCTGTTTTCGATGTCCAGAGAAAAGTTCCAGGGAGAGAAAAACAGATAACAGCATCATGTTGTCCACTGGAGAGATCCGTGTGTTAAAAGTAGGCTAAGCTGGAGTAATCGGCTTAATGTAGCTGTGAATAGTGTATACAGCTCTTCACTCCATTAACCTGGGTTAACCAGGACCCAGCAGGACATGGAAAGAAATCAGGGGGCTCATCACAGTTTCTGTGAATGTTGAATTTATCAAGTTGGGCTGAGAAGTCCACGAACTGCCCGAGCATTGATACTTGGATGTCAGAGTGATTCTTTTTCGGCTTGGTTTTTTGCCAATGGTTCAGTAGGGATGGCTTGTCTTCCTGCCTCCACCTCCTCCTCGTGGCTGTTTAGAAAAAGAGAAGAAATGGATTGGAATAGCCCAGGAGATTGCCTGAGTTTTGCTGGCAGCCTCTGAAGCTGCCAACGGTATTTCCACTTCCCTGGCAAGAACAGGCAGTGGCACTGTTCTGCCCACGCCGGAGAGCGTTCCCTGCCTGCCTGACAGCGGCGTTCTCTGGCTCTCCGGAGAAATGGCCTGCAGTGGTGAAAGGAAATCTCTGTGTCCCAAAGGATGTTGTCCCCCACCTGTCATTCATAAGATTCGCTCGAGTGCTGCCCCCTGGAGGCATCTGTGCCACCGGCTGGAAGTCAGAGCCAATAACTCTGGGTGTTAGCAACACCCAGGTTGGAAAACTCAATTCGTGGTCAGGTCCCAGCAGATGACAGAGTGGCCAGGGCCTGCGGAGAACCTGCACTGTCACGGTCTGAAGTGAGCAGAGGCCCTCCCGCTTCACCTAAATGTTGATGGTTGTCAGGAAGGAATGTGAACTTACTGTGGAAAGAACATCCGGTTTTTTCAAAAGAAGGCAGAAATGTGGATGCTTACATGAAATTCCTGATTTTTCAAACTTGCCCACCTCACTCACTTAAAAAATAAAAGAACGCAAAAACACATTGCTATAGCAGGACAACAGGTAATATATACAATGACTCGTGCACATTAGATAAAGCAAGAGGGAACGAACAGCAGTTGGTGTCCATGTGCCGAGTAAAAGGTACCTCCGAGCAGTTGCTCCCCGAGCGTGGCGCTGGGCTTAACGCACGGGCTGTGGCCGGATTTCAGCCTCCCTGTGCTGGCTGCCGGTCCTGCGTGGCGCTGCGATGCAGCCGCCGAGTGCATCTATACATGCCAGATTCTCCTTTAAAAATTATTATGGGCACTTAATAGTTGTATCTATTTCTAGAATACATGTGATGTTTTGATACAGGCACACAGTGTGGATTAATCAAATCAGGGTAATTGTACACGCCAGATTCCGGTCCTGGGCCACAGGTTTATAAACTCTGGATGATGGAAGAGGCAGCTAGACAGCAGGAAGCCAGTACGAATTGCAAGTCTACCCTCGCTAAGGGGCCATAAAATTTCTAAATATTTTCCCCCTGCTGGGCCCCAAACCTCCTCTCCAGTAGTCCTGGATGGTGGATGTTGGATCAGCAGGCATGTTTATTTTAGGCAGTATTTTTCTGAGATTATTATACTCTATATGTAAGAAGGATGTATTTATTTATCTGCTTTATCTTTCTTTTGGCTCACTTCACCTATTATTATTTTTAATATCTTTCCTTTATTGAGACCTGCTGTGTGTTGGATTACTTCATATAAATTATTTCTAATTCTGACAACATCCTGATAACGTAATATAATTCCTCCTATTTCACAGAGGAAGACACTGAGGCTCAGAGAAGTCATTTTTCCCAAGACCAGCCAGGAATTGGTTGTGTGGAGCCTCAAACCCAGGTCTGTGTCACTAAGAAGCTGATGACTTTGTTACTTCTACTTGAGGTGGCAAAGTCTGTGTGTCTTTTCTCGCTAATGTCACCTAATGAAGGTCTATGCTATTTGAGCACTTGATGCATGAGAATCTCTATGTGGTGCCTTTTCTCTCCCCTTTTTTGTCTTAATAAATGTGAAAAAAGTTCTCTTACAGCAAATAATGCATCTGTGTAGTATGTAACTTTGAAAATATCACCAGATGCACACATCAAGGGAATGTGGTTCCTTCAAAATACTGGGTAGCTTTGGTAATTAGAGATTTCTTCCAACGATGCCGTTGCCAGCCACCACCTTTCTGGTACTTCTCTTTTGGAAGTGCCTTCAAAGTCAGTTTACAAACCATTCAAAGAAATTAGGCTCATCATTTAGGTGGCATTTTCTGTTTTAAACCACAAATGACAATACCCAACTTTTCCAGACACTTTATCAGATTGACTACAAACAACTTGAAGTTATTTCAAAAAATTAAGTCCAGTCTCAATGGAGAAAGTTTTGCCTCTTGAGAATGTTTGGAAGAATGTACTGGAAGTTTTCAGGTTGTCTCCAAAAGAAGACTTCCAAAAATGTTCTGAGACCAGCAGCACCGTTGGTTAAGTGTGTGACCTTTGAAGGGGATATTTATTGAACTAGACTAGTCCGACAAGTTGGTTAAGTTAAATAAAGAATTAGGGTAGTGGGTTATTTTGTTTTTGTTTTTTTTTCTTTTCTTTTCTTTTTTTTTTTGAGACAGAAGCTCACTCTGCTACTGAGGCTAAAGTGCAGTGGCATCATCACAGCTCACTGCAACCTCAGACTCCTGGGCTCAAGGGATCCTCCTGCCTCAGCCTCCCGGGTAGCTGGGACTGCAGGTATGCACTGCAATGCCCGGCTGATTTTTTTCCTTTTTGGTAGAGTCAGGGTCTCACTTTTACTAAAGCTGGTTTTGAACTCCTCAGCTCAAGCAATCTCCTGCTTCAGCCTCCCAGAGTGTGAGGATGACAGGTGTGAGCCACTGCGCCTGGCCAGCACAGTTCATCTTTGGGCAAGTTTGGTTGTTGAAACGTCTTCCTGATACTAAGCTGAAATCTCTTTCTCTTACTATCTTCTCTCATAGAAACCCCTTGGAAGTCCTATGGAACCGGTCCTGTGTGACAGGTCCTAGTTCTCTGGAGGTCATATGCCTCCAGAGTATTTTCTTTTCTGGAGAAACAGCCTTAGTTCCTTTAAACAATTTATCTTCAGATATGGTTTTGTATCCTTTCACCATATTTATCTGACTGCTCTCAATAGCCCTCGATTGAGATCAGATCCAGTTCCTTTTCAGATGGAATACCCAGAGGTGAGCACATTCCTCCAGGTTATAGAGACAGGCCTCCCTCCTCATTCAGTGACTTGCACTTTTATGAAAGTAGCCTAGAGGCACATTTATTTTTATTTAATTTTAGTTTTTATTTTGGCAGCACATTACACACTTACAAAAGTGACAAAAGGAAAGAAATATTAGCCCAGAATCCTATATCCAGTGAATTTCAAGAATAAAAGGGGAAATGAAAACAGTCTCAGAGGAAAGAAAACTAAGAGAATTTGTCACTAGCATATCCGCCCTAAAAGAATGGTAAGGGAAGTTCTCAAACAAAAATAAAATGATAAAAGAAGGAACTATGGGACATTAAGAAGGAAGAAATAACTTGGTAGGAAAAAATATGGGCAAATACAATAAGCTTTCCTTCTCCTTTTGAGTTTTCTAAATTATTTTATGGACAAAGCAAAAATTATAACACTAATCTGGTTTTAAATTTATGCAGAAGAAATATTTAAGACAATCATATTATAAATGGTGTAAAGGGATGTAAAAGGAAGAAAGGTTCCTATATTTCACGTGACCTGGTAAAATGATGACAGCAGTGTACTGTGTAAGTTAGATACATATAGTGAAGCACTTAGAGCAACCATTAAAAAAGCTATACAAAGAAATACACTCAAAAACACTATAGAGAAATTAAAATGGAATGATACAAAGTGTTCATGTAGCCAATATAAAGAAAAAAGGGAAATAAAAAATGGAGAGAACAAAGAAAGAAAAAATAAAATAGCAGATTTAAGCCCTTACGTATCAATATTTACATTAAATATATATGGTCTAAGTACACCAATTAAAAGATGGAGATTGACAGAGTGGATTAAAAATATGACCTACTACATGCTGTCTACAAGAAAATCACTTCAAATGTCATGATATAGACAAGGTGCATAGGGAGGATCACAGCTTACTGGGAGCAGAAGCCCAGGAGGAGAAATCTGTAGCTGAAGCCAGTGTCAACAGAAACACTTTAAACTATAATTGACAAAGTTTTAAAGGCTCAGTGTGGACTAGCTTGAGAGTTACAAAAAATCCAGGTGACCCTGTGTGGGGATGCCCTCACACTTTGATGAGTTTTACCTTCAAGAACGCCACCTGATTCTCAGGGTGAAGATCAAAAAAAATTCTCCTGCACTTCCAATGGAGGGAGGGAAAAAGAGCCATTTTTAAATACTCCCAAAGCTCTCTGTTCTCCTTAACAAGGCCTGACCACAGGGAAACCATTTTACCAGTGCTCAATAGACTGGGTTTTTACCAAAGCCTGGTCAGCCTGGGCAAATGGATACACTCAACTCCAGGCTGCTCTACTGCAGGGAAAGGGAAAGGGAAGTATCCAACTCACACTCACTAAAAGACAGATTTAATTAAGGGACTATTGAATACTTACTCCCATTTCCCATCAGAAGGCCTCCTGTATAATTGCAGCTAAAAGAACTGCAAGCCTGGCATCCTATTTAAGGAAACTCTAGGGAAACCCAAATATAACAGGGGAGAGAAAAACAAGGACACCAGAGCTATAGTAAACACTAATCACAGCCTAACTGCAAGCCAGATAAACACAAACCCTCATATTAAAGGCCTCTTTACCTCAGTTACTTTTATCTGATACATCATGTCTGGTTTTCAACAAAAATTTTAAGACATATTAAAAGACAAAAACACAGTCTGAGGAGACAAACCAAGCATAGACCCAGACTCAGATATGACAGAGGTTTTGGAATTATCAGGCTAGGAATTTAAAATAACTGGTTAATATGCCAAAGGCTGTAATGGAAAAAGTGGACAACATGAAAGAACAGATGTGTATGTAAGCCAAGATGGAAATTCCAGGAGAGAATTCAAAGGAAATACTAGAAATAAAAAACACTACAAGTGAATGAAGAATGCCTTTGATGGGATCATTAATAGACGAATGTAGCCAGAGGAAGAATCAATGAGCTTGAAGATATGTCAATAGAAATTTCCAAAACCGAATGCAAAGAGAAGAAAGAATGAAAAAGAACAGAACGGGCAAGAACTGTGGAACAATTACAAAAGTTGTAACATATGTGTGAGGGGAATACCAGAGTGAGAAGACAAAGACAAAGGAACATGAAAAGTGGGCAAAGGATATGAACAGACATTTCTCAAAAGAAGACACATAAATGGCCAACAGGTATATGAAAAAATACTTGACATCACTAATCATCAGGGAAATGCAAACCACAACTACAATCAGATATGATTTTACTCCAGTTAGAAGGGCTATTACTAAAAACACAAAAAATAACAAATGCTGACAACAATATGGAGGAAAGGAAACCCTTATATCTTGCCATTGGGAATGTAAATTAGTATAGCCACTATGGAAAGCAGTATGGTGATTTCTCAAAAAGCTAAAAATAGAATCACCATATAATCCAGCAATTCCACTACTGGGTGTTTATTCAAAGGAAAGGAACTCAGTGTATCAAAGGGAGATACCTGCACCCCCATGTTTATTGCAGCACTATTTACAATAACAGATGCAGAAT